GTATTCTCAGAGTTCCAATATCGACACGTCAACAGCATGAGCTGTCAAAAGTCAAAGAAACGGCGCTGCATTTTGATTTAACACTAACTTTGATTAGCACGAGATGTCAACTTGACTGATGTTTTATCTTCAATTCTGTCGCACATAGTCGCAGCTCGTTCAACACGATCACAATATACAAACCATTGTCAAACGTTTACTTAGGACAATCTAAACTAGTTTAAATATTAAAAACTATTTAGGAATTTCGGAATTGAGATCAGTGACATCATTTTAACCAAAACATCTGAGACTTCTATTCATTTGGATAAACGACTGTCAAGTAACCACCACGCTTGGTGATTTTACGGGACGCTTTAATCACCCCGTGCTGTGTTTGCACCCAATCGAGTTGGTTCCACGGTGATTGATTTAATTAGGGTCAAGCGCTTCAGTTAGTACCGCGGAGCGCACCCGTCTCGCGAACACGAGACGATAGGCCGTCTCGCGTACACGTTACGTCTATGATTACATTCAATAAAACCAACTATCGGTTGACGAGGTTATTATGCGAAGAGGTCGTATTGGCCACACAAGATATACGCATGAATATTTACGAAAAGGTGAGGATCCTCCGCATTTGTGCCCCTCGTGATGAAAGAATCGCAGTCAAACATGTCCTGCTTGACTGTTATATTTCCATCACAAAGGATAAATATTTCCGTGCCAAAACGGTTAAAGATCTTTTTAATAATGTTAACTGTCATTTAATTATTGATTTTATAAAAGAAATTGATCTGATCGATAAAGTTTGATTGATCTGTTGATGCATTTTTATCCCACCGGAATATTTTTCAACAAAACTTGGTAGATATATCAAACAGATCCTAAAGTTGTGCCTTTTGCTATTTGCAGATATTTGGCATTTTTATTTTCCCGGTTTCCATGGAAACGATTCGGACTTAGTCTAAAAAATCAAGTAGGACTTTTAAGTAGCTGTCAAATCATCTTCTTCTTGTTGAAAAATATTGAACGGTTTTTGAGTAAGACTCTGGAAACAAATTACATGCCGGGGTGTGGGGTTGGGTGGGGTGGAGGGAGTGATAAATGAATTGGTTTAGCCACGATATAGCTAAAATATTGCCGGTGTGACTATAATCTTAACTCACTCACTCTCCATTTGAATAATGTCCTGGATAGATAAGCAACTGGGTAGTTTACCATGCATCTTACTGTGTACAACGCGCGCAGCTGATTCGCTTCGGTTCAGCGAAAGTCAAAGAAAATATTTCAAACTATAATATTTATGTTCCAATATTATGCCCGGATCAGGCTTCTGATTATTCATTATCATGTGGCTATTCTTTTCATAGTTGTACGAAGAAAGGTGAACTTAAAAATACCCCTTTGGTACGGAACTATCAGAGGGATGCTTGCGATTGGGCAAAGGGAGGGCATATCATGTTTTTTATTTTTTTTGGTACGGTTCTTGCAGAAATCAAGTGAACAGTTTAATATCATGTCATGGGATTATTGGCAATATATAGTGATTACGCCGTGTATATTATAAAAAAACCCGAGTATATCGTCAAACGTTTGTGACAAACGCACACCTAGTGAATCATTAAACATCATTGTCAGTAAAAAGACATAATACAAAAAAAAATATATGGAAATAATCTGTATCATTCGATAGCATATTGGAAGAACTATTCGATCCATGTAACCTCAGAACCTTATACATGGAGGGAAAAGCATGCAGCTTAATCTATGCTGCTGTTTAAAGGATATTGCCTTAAAGGAAAAAAATTAGTCAATAACAATGGCAAACTGATATTTATACAGAAATATCGAAATATAATTGGATGGAAAACTATTTACCGTCAAGAACAACGAATAAGACAAAGTTCAGATAATTAATTCCAACACTATATTATTCATAGAATGCTGACAACAGATAAAAACATGTAGTCCAGGAGGAGGCAGCTGAAAAATTTCAAATCGTAGCCTCCCCTGTACTGATTTTGTTTGACACTATTTTCAGTTAGTATGATGTCTTGGGCTCATGAAAAGGCCTGTAATACTCTCAGATTGTGGTATCAGGGTTTTTTTACAGGCCATTATATGTGGTGGGGGTTTGCGAGCATTTTCGTCACATTTGGTTTGCTGCCCGACAACACCTCAAAGTTAATCATTAATAGTTTTACTACTATCAATCTGATCACTTTCAATTTGACTTCTGTGTCCTGCTAAAGGATGTAGAAATTACTTGACATCATTTTGTTTTGAAAACAAAATCAAAATGGCCGCCATTTTGTTTTGTCGTGAAAATCTGTAAATTAAGACATAAAAGCAGATAAATTTAATATACCTTAAGTGTGATTCACCCAAAGTACGAGCGCGCGAAATGGGAGGCGAGAGTGAGTATTGCCAGGGAGACTCTATAAGGGGGAGTGGTCACTCCTCGGAAAGCTCCTAAGCTATGCCTCGGCTCGTCACGTGACCAGTGCAGCCAATATGGCGGCAGCGTAGTTTTTAAGATTGAGCCCGGTTTATTTTCAACAGCTGATTACATACGCTGAGTGTCGTGACAACTGAAAACCTACATGTAGAAGATAAGTTACCTATTCTGTCACTTCACTTTAAGTCAAATACTTGTTATTAGTGTCAGTATAAGTATAGTAGCTTTGTAGTAAAGTTTCAAGTGGGCATGTTGTAGCTCACTGGCTTCAATTCTCAGTACACAGCGAAGAAAGACTAAATTATATCGCTAAAAACTTCTTTCACATATTCGTTTAATTTTTAGAAGGGAAATATACCTTAGTTAAAAGGTGTTTGCAAGTAATAGCGATATTTTTATAACTAAAATTTTTTTGATAGGGTGTATTTGAGGTGTGTGAAAAATATGACATATCGCCGATCTGCCATTGAAATACTACAGGGCGTTGTTTGAGTGTTTCTAGTGAGTGTTCAAAAACATCTTTCACATACACCTTCAATTTTTATGAGGGGAATATACCATCAGATGAAAGGTGTTTGCAAGTAATAGTAATAGTTTTATAATTTAAAAAAAATTGTTAGTGTGTATTTGAGGTGTGTGAAAAATATGACATATCGCCGATCTGCCATTGAAATACTACAGGGCGTTGTTTGAGTGTTTCTTGTTATTGTTCTAAAACATCTTTCACATACACCTTTAATTTTTATGAGGGGAATATACCATCAGGTGAAAGTTTTTTGCAAGTAATAGTGATAGTTTTAATTTTTTATTTTTTTTAGTGTGTATTTGAGGTGTGAAAAATATGACATATCGCCGATCTGTTCTGATACGCCATTGGTGCTTGTGATGCTTGAGCGTTATAGTTCTAAAACTTCTTTCTTTCTTGTTGATCTTAGTATTTGACAAAACTGGAAAGGTGTTTGCAAGGCTTTGTGATAGTTCTAAACTTTCTGTTCTTGAGGGGTCTGTGACAGTGTCAGTTAACATTCTGTCAATGCCCATGTCATTCCACACATGCAATAAGATATCTGAATTAGTTACTAATGTAAAAAAATGTCTCAAAGTAATTTGTTTTGAAAAAGGACAGCTGATGTTAACAGGTGTTCTACCGATAATTTTGCGTTCTTTAACATGTTTGGGGAGGGATGGCCGTGGTGTATCATTTGTTCTTTCATTCATTCACATATGTTCTTTTTTTGTTCTTTTTCTTAATTTCTTTCATTCATTCACATAAAATTCTTGCTCTTAATTCATTCATTCATTGTAAAATTCCGACCTATACAATACACTGGCTGAAGTACTGTTAAACGCAGCCGAAGTTGCGCTGGGACCGAACCAAGTCACTGTGTGCGTTGGAGCATGACGAGGCACACGTTAATTAGTACAAATGGTAAAGGAAGCAAGCGAGTGACCTATCCCTGTTGTAGAGTATCCCTGGTATTGCGTACCGCTAATGAAGAATGTCCTCCGATACGGACACACTCCGGCACAGCGATGACTTAACATAACATCACTGCCACAGGCTAATTTGCATATCACGTGACCGGACTTTTCTCTTGTTTGTAATCAAACGCGCATATTCATAATAAAAAGAGACTGGACTCACGAAAGCTTTTCGGCGCTCTCTTCATAATGTTTTACATTGTTACATATATATTCTTCCACAACTGCTACAGTTAGGTCTATGACAGTACATATTTAGATATCAAACTGGCTGCATCGTTTACTCTCCGTCGGCTTCGATGACAGCACGTGGAGCCGTACAACCTATGTAAACAAAGGATCGGTACGCAAATCCAAATAGTGTTACATGTTTTTGGATATTTTCTCAGTGAAACTAAACCATTCTATTAAAGATGTTTAGTTAGATGTGTAGACTCGTCAAAAATAAAAGAGTTAAAGAAATCTGTACATTATATTTAATGGACATTGCAAGATGTGACGAATTGTCACATTTTTCTGCCCTGTGGCAGAGGTACTATGCTGGCTGGCCGCATGGAACTCTGGTTAGGAGAGTGCGATACGGACTGTAGAAATTTGGCGCATGCGCACAACATGTCAGCTCGCTATTGTTAAAACAAGACCTCAACGGGTTTCAGGGCCATTAATATCTAAATGTATCATCACAAAAATATGACAGTTACGTGTATGTATAGGGAAATTATCTGGGAGTACATCAGTATCGACTTTTCAGTCAAAAACCCACAGGAAATATATCTAAAAAATCTCAAGAAAATACGAGGGGTAATCGGCCACTAGAATCTGAATAGGATTTATGAAGGTGGTGTTCTCGGCCGCGATGCAGGGTCATGTCTTGACTGTATAGACCATTCTTAGCCAATATGCATGACCTCGAGGTCAAATCGAAAGCGAGGCTGAAATAGGTTGACCCAACCTTGAAAATGGCGACCTCGAAAAGGAAAGATTACTGCTGTGTGCCTTTGCGTTGGAGTGATGCCCGTAAGGATTTTACAGTATCTTTTCACCATATTCCCAAGAATAAGATCAGAAGAAGACAGTGGTTGATGAAAATACGGAGAGATCCTGGGAAATGATTCATAGTAAGTACAAAATAATTACGGCACATGGCATAGTCTAGATCCGCCGTGTAATGTACAAACTGTTCACTATGCAAGGTTTTAATATTTAGGACACATGTACAATGTGAATGTCACACACACAGACACATTCAAACCTCACACACACACACACACACACACACATTTTCATGTTCAAAATCAGTGACCACCCCCCTACTTCATATGTACACAATTGACCCCTCCCCCTGCCTCCCAAAACAAACTGGGAGACACCCCAACCCCAACAAACACCGCACCTAAAATCATCATCACCCCCTTAGTCAAATTATGAACGGTCCATTATTTTATTTGTTTTAAAGCATATGGACATATGGAGACACTCTTGTCATGATGGCAAGGGAATTGTATTTGCAAATATTCTGTATCAGTGAAATTTGATTGGCTGCAAATCAAAGTAACATTTCAAGTACATGTATATGCAGGACACACACATACTGTTAAAAAATCTTAAATATGTACTTTCAAAATTACTGCATGCTGACCAGTACTTCAGGGATACAGGACATATTACTGGACAATCTAATTACAACAACTGACACATATTCAGTGTTTAAATATCCATTTCAGATGCTGCAAATCAAGAGTCAGAGAGCAAGTCACCAGCTCAGGAACCTCCCATAAGGAATCTACCACAGTCACCATCTCAGATACAGTAATAATGTCAGACCGTATTAAGTTAATTTTGCCAACTGACATGGTTTTAAAGAATTTAACACAACTGAACTTTATAATGCTATGTTATTTACATACAAAAATATTCATTGCCCATGAAATATGAAATGATGTTATAGCCTCTACTCCTTGATGTATATTTGTAATTCCAGAGATATATTTATTGTTTGTGTGGTCGAAGAGATAATAGTAATGCTTTACAATGCTTATATTACAGTGAAGCAGAGAGTGATACAGCTGCCACTGACCCCAGTCCCACATAGAACAACTCCATCAAAAACTACATGAACAGGGGAGGCAACTCAAGGAAAAGGTTGACAAAATAGAAGAATTGAACAGAAAACTTGAACTTGAAAAGTTTGGACTTTGTAAATTCATGTATGATGATAGAAAATGATTGAACAAATTACAATATTCCATCATTTCAAACATTGGCACTGATTAGCTGGAACTTTTTCATTTGTTGAATATCATCCCAGGTTTTGTGAAGTACCTTGCCCAAACAGCACAAGAATTGACAGACATGAATGTAAATGAAATTGTTTCATGCTTTTGTGTTGTGTAAATGATGGATGAAAAAAAGAGACAGCTGTTATACATACACAGTGATCGATTTAACTGAAAAATAGAAAGGTATTTCATAATGGCATAGTTGTAGATGTAACTCATTTGCTGCTGTTTAATTACTAATTGATGAAAAAGAATGTATTTCATCCTGTTTGAAAAGAGTTAGTTGGGAACCAGGTAAGAGATTATGATACTGTGTAAGGGGAGAAAACTATGATAAATTATGAATTGATCTAGCTGTAATTGTTGCCATTCATGTCAGACTAATCTAAAAAAGATATTTCTATCAACATAAATATTGCACCCAATATATTTTCAATTTGCATCCTCTGAAAATTGTATTGTTATTCATCAGTGTTACAGTTGGAACCTATTGTGAATGTGTCTATTGTTATTGGATTGTTAAGACACCATTTCAAAATAAAATTTTATTAACTGCACTCCAGGTGTTCGTTATTTATTTAGGTTAATTGTTTGCTGTAGTGTGAATCCTGTTATGCTAACCTGATAATATGTTCTCCTTAAAAAAGGTCTTCAGTAACAGTGGTACAGAATAAATGCACAAGGTCTACAATAAATCAATGTTATGGTATAGTAACACAGTATTGAAAAGTGTTTCAAATATTCCATATGCAGGTACCATAAGTCCATTTCGGTACAATACCTCCAAATCAGTCACGAAAGAAAAAACTTCATCCAATTTTGTCTTGCACATTGTGTCCCACTCATGCTGATTGAATGAAATAGTTTCTACATGATGATGTGGCGATTCGTTTTTCCTCTGCGATTGTAACATGCAGCTACGCGCACATCAATCACCAGTAGTCCTGTACAACTGAAAATAAATGCGTGAATACATACCCTATATCTATAAAAAAGAGTCGATAGGACAAACATTTCAATAGAAACAATACCAAACAAATAATTTCATCACATGAATAATACAATTTTGTTTGGTCCAGATCCACTCGAGGAGAGCTATCTTGATCTGCATATTACTTATAATCTCGATTATACAGCTCAAGAATTAACAACACTACTCCCATGTGGAAGCGGATGATTTGAATCCATGTCAGGAAATACGTTTAGTCTTTTGCTTTGTTCATATGTTGATAAAGTAAACGTGAATGACTTCCCTTGGTAATATTTCCACTATTGTGACTTTAGAGTAGCTTCCCTTCATAAATGCTGCGCAACATGGTAAACGTAACCTAGATATCTAGGTCATATATGACTTATCGTGATGTGTTGTGAAGTACAGTAATTATTCACCCTTCAATCCGTGAATATGCTACAGAAACATTTGTGTAGCCCTTTCCCATTTCTCTGCGATTTCCCTGAACTACATGACAGTTTCGTAATGACCGTTCAAGGGAAATTTGAAACCAGGAAGTAAACATTGAGATTGGTCGCCATTACGCGATTGTGTCCTTGCCACGTTTAGCCTCGTTTCGGTACAGATATGAATATTCATGAGGCCTCATTAAGAATGGTCTATAGGACCGCATCGCGGCTCTCGGCTAACCTAAATCCTACTTAAATACAGTTTAACTTTGGTTTATGTCCACCCCCTAATACCTACTCCCGAAAATAACAAGACAAAACCTACTCATGCAATGAAATTATCCAGTCGTGTATATTGTACCACAATATACACGACGTCGTGCATATAGACGATTCGGCGGAGCATGCAAGAAGCGTGACATCGTCCTGTCTCTCCGGCCACGAGGTCCGCATGGGCCTAAGCTTCTACATATGTGACTACAAAGGTAGGTACTACGTCAGCCCCCCACCCAACTACCTAACCTACCCCCCCTCCCCGACTATCAAACTTTTGTATTTACTGTACTTTTATACCCCAAGACGCCCACAACCCAATGGTAAGAGTCCCAACCCAATATAGCTGATATCAACGATAGTTTTGCGAATGTTTATTTAAGACTTGTTTGTGTTCAAGATTGGGATTTCAAGATTTTGCATCAGCAATGGTGCAGATATTTGCAGCGAGATATTTCATGACTTTAACTTCAAGTGAACGAACAGGAGCAGTGTAGCTATTTATTAATTTAACTTCAAGTGAACGAACAGGAGCAGTGTAGATATTTATTTATTTATTTATTTCACATTCAAGGGTAAAACAATGTCTATTCTGGCATGACATTGTGTGATTCTCAGTTCTGATTGGCTGAGAGCTCATCAAAACCGAACTTAAATGGCAGTTTAATTATAGTGATGTATTGACCGCATATGACTACAATGAACTCGTTGACCCTTTTGTTTATAACAAACATGTTGGAAATCAGTGATTTCCACTTCAGCAGCATCTTTGATGTTTTTTATTTAAAAAGCAAATGGTGTGAAGAAGAATTTTTTCTGCCCAATCCCATTGAAGAAAAAATTGTCAGCACCACAAAAGCGGCAGTATTCCGACATACTTCAAACTGATGTAACAGGCCAAACCTTCCATGGGGAAACTTTGGCCAAGGCCAAACTCCACAAACACACAAACACGCACGCACACTAGGCTTAATCTTCCCCACGGAAAGTTTGTCCTAGCCCAAATGGGGGTACCTCACTGTGCCACCTGCCTTTGTTTCAGAGGGTGAAGCAGTCACCCGTGGTTAACTAAATGACAATGGGGGATTAAGTACAGCCTGTTCTGAAATTTATTGTACCACAGGTACAAATATAGTAATATTATGATGGGGGTACTGCTGCACATGTGTCCTAGAGGGTTTTATCGGACTGAATCCCCTCCCAACGTAGGGTAAAAATTGGGTGGATTGGCTGTGTGAGCATCGTTGGATGCATCTTTAAACACCTCGAAGTGAGCAGAGTACGGAGCCTAAAAAGAGACTAGCGCCAATGGAGAAGGTTCTGCCTCCACGATAAACAGCCAGGACACGTGCAGTCAAGTCCAAACACTTTATTGTTGAAGCCAAGGCGACACATAGAGAAACCGAACATAAAACTGGGAAAGCCAGTTTATGTTTAAGGGCGATAACTCTAAGAGTCATTGTGTTAACTCGCTGATAACTAACTGCCAACTGGTGTAACTTCTCCTTCTTTCGTCTTATAAAAAATTATGGGTGGGATCCACACATGTATCCATATGACAGGGCAATACCAAATACAATGGGCCTATGTGGTAGAATATGGTCACTAAAGTTAACAACCGTAAACAAATGATAAATCGTCGTTTAGACTCTTTGGAACAAATACTAGTATGTCCTGTAGTGGTGGATTATAACACTGACAAACTGAAAAGGAAATGAGAGACCATCACTGAGTAGACTGCCCTCCAGTCTCGGGGATTATTCTGCCCCATCACATTGCATACAAGCAAATGATATATGTAACACAGTATCACCATAGGATGCTCACACACATTAATCTAGTAAAGGATATAGTCTGAGAGGTGGCATGGCATCTGACGAGTGCGACTGGACTGACGCAACTTTGGAGACATAGAAGGTTCTGATTGATCGATAGGGGAGTCTGTTGAAGTATCATTTGGATAGTCAGTGTTGCCATTAGTGCGATACGGGTGTGAATTCACATCAGCATAATAGGGTCAGCTCTCTCTGCAGGTGTAGGGGGCTCCATGATGACATCTGGTATAGGAGGAGGTTGAGGAGGAGTAGGTAGAGACTTTGGGAATCTGTCATGTTCATCTCCCACTTGCAGATATTGGACTGACTGACTGAGTTTAGTTTTACGCCGCTTTTAGCAATATTCCAGCAATATCATGGCGGGGGACACCAGAAATGGGCTTAACACATTGTGCCCATGTGGGGAATCGAACCCGGGTCTTAGGCGTGACGAGCCAACGCTTTAACCACTAGGCTACCCCACCGCCCCGCAGATATTGGAGATCAGCCGACAAAGTGGATGCTTGTTGCAGTGAAGGTTTTGTAACAGAGTAACACTCTGACTTTTTCACTCTATAGGAAGTGTTTCGAAGTTGTGATCCGGTGAATTTACGAACGTTGCACCAGTCATTGTCAACCGCTGTGACAATGTAATGATCACGGGCACAGCCATCGCTGTGAATGTAGACTATGCTTCCCACATCAATGTCAGGTGTCAGACCTTGCTTGTGGGTGGGAGTCTTAGACTTCTCACTTGGTAAATGATTGGACACATGTTGACTAAGGATTAGATCCATGTCATGCATGGGCAACTGAGAGTTTGTGTGCTGGTCGCATTTGTTTCGTTGCGTCTTTGTTGAATAAGAACGAGATACTTGAACATGGATCTTTAATCTTCGGGCGGTTACATCGTGAGTAGCGTCCCCTGACGGGAGCCTTCGTTATTGACATTTAGGGGAGAATTAATTGTTTATCAGTAATGTCACATCCTTCCCCTTAAAGATATGCTCTTTACAGTAAACATTTGAATAAAGGCATTAAGGCAGTTGTACAACATTAACTTTAAAGTCTCTCAAAAGACACACTGCCTTAACACAACTGAACATCTTTTCAGCTTTAGGTAACTGAAATATTACCACTTAGAGTCTTCTGGGAAATATGAAGAATACACAACTTAACTTTCAACTTTTAAAACTGAACAAAGTCTTTGAATCTTGATGGAACTGTAACTTGTCTTCCACTTGAGGTTCTTGCAGCACTCTGTCCTCTATCATCGACTACTGGTCGGTCTTCTCCTCCACTTGACAGTGTCGTGCCTGAGCTATGC